AAATTCAAGCTGCCATGGATGTGCTCAAAATGGCCGAAACGCGGTTGATCTGTCTTATAACAAACCAATTTGCTGATTTTTGGAAATGAAAATATAGAACATACTAGTGGATGATCGTGGAACACTGGTTTCAGTTTCGAAAGTTTAAGTTTTTCGTAGAACTAGAATGATTCATTTTAAATTGAAAAAATATGTATCAATTTATATTTATATCAACCAATAGAAGTCCGCGATACTCGTCCGGAGATACATCATGTCAAGGCCAGGCGTCATGCGTCTACATAAAACACACCGGTCACATATCGCAGTGCGCACATGATAATTTGTGAACGGGACGAAAGGAGCTGTCAGATCTGTAAGTTTCGTTAATATCTTAGTTGCTTACACAATTTGAAAGACATTCTCTGATAAATGAATCTTCAACCTTTTTTAAGAATGATTTATCACATAAATGTTTCACAGAAGTAAAATGCAGATGTTAATCATTGCTTTGAAAATATTGAAAATAAGCAGTTTTAATTTCAAACATTAATGTTATAAATATTCTTTATCACTGCTACGGATATCAAAAACAAAATTTTGCATTAATTTATATATTTTATTAACATTCGGTTTTATTATGTTAATATATTTTTTCTGTCCAAGGATCCGATTTTATCATTTACTCCTTTCGATTTACAACTATCGGATTTGAACCTCTACATTCCCTTTCCGTTATGAGGGCTGGGAATCAAAACTGCTTTTCCTTCAAATCAATCATATACTCGTTTCAGAGTTAACCATAAACTCCAAAATATAATTTTACATTATTTACTTAAATTTCATTAGAAAGAAATATTATTTAGAAAGAAAATAATGATTTTATACGAAATGATACGACACTGTTGAAAATAAAATATGATACGACGCAGTTGTATTTTTTGACATTCTTTACAACAGGGATACTTTTGCCAATATATGTCTATTTTACAGAATAATCAATATTGCGCTTGATAAAAAAACTGATCAATCACGGTTTATAGCAATATTCTGTTGCTTTAGAATATTTAAAAAATTTCATTTCCAATATAGCATTTAATTTGAAAGTTTATATTGCGGAAGCTACTTTTCATATAAACATAAACTCGAGTCACAAAATTCATGGCTAGCTACGCTTATGATAAACTGTAGTTATACACGTTCTATGTAATGACTGCTTTTTGTGGTTTTATTTCAAACTTGCATTTTACACTATAGCTTTACTGGATACAAGGACCACAGGTGCGCCCTTTGTGCATTATTTCAGGAAAATATTGCACCAGCAGAAAACCATCGGCAGTTCAGAGCAAGTGATTTGAAGTCTTATAATAAACAGCCCGGCCTCGGTCGGACACACCTGTCTGAATTGTTTTTTTGGTTTTTTTTTTCAACTAAATTTGTTAACTATTGTCCTTAATATCAGCTGTATGAATAAGCAGTTTTTTAAATTAAATTTCTGGTATAAAGTTTAAAGATTACTGCAATACAAATATTCGAATCGATTATAAAGTGAATAACATATCAATCTCTTGTTGAAATGAAATATTTCCTTACTTTCTTAGATTACTTTTGTTACTTTGATATTTACATTTTAAAAATATTATGTGTCAGTGGTGTGTAGCAGCGAAAATTTCAATGTAAACAGTGGGTAATCCTCTTTGAAGTCATTTTCTGAAAGACTTTTGTTTTATGTGGTAGGTAATTCATTATCATAGACAAATCACACTTTAATATAAATGCTCAAATTTAAGGTATGTAAAGCTGCTATGTCTTAGCCGCTGCTAGGGGGCGTGGACGGTAACTTGCACTTTCCAGTACCGTCCATGAACAGGCTCAATCAAACCGAGCCAACATTTTCAATTTTGTCGTGTTGGGCTTTCTTGAAGGATTCTGTATTTCTCACTCTTATTGTCACATCCGTGTTATTTGTGCCGTGTGGCGGCTGTAAAAAGTCTCCCCGTACCTTTAATCAATGATGTTATATTTTCGATCCTTGAAGATCGTTCAGCACGACATTATTCTTGTGTATACATTTTACATGGTATTTTTAGTATCTTGTATTTGGCCTTACTCAATTTGGGTGGTTCCAGTATTCCTACTTGAATACTGTTTAATCACCTACAGGATATGTTGCCTGCTTTTTAAATTTGTCTTTTGACGTCTTATCTGTGATATGCAGGCTTCATAACCTCAGATCCCCTTTCAAAACTCTATTTTATTTAGTTCCGCCCATTGTTTTCTCGTTTAGGGCACACGCATTCTTTTACTTGGGGACCATACGCCGCTTTTCATGGAATGACTCTACTGTGTCACATTGAAGGTTCCATGCAGATCGCCGTATGAACACGTCTGCGGATGTTTTTAAATTCAAAATTTCACCATTTTAGTGTTTAAATGTTGAATTCTGCTTAAGCCGGTGCTAGGCGGCGTGGACGGTAACTTGCACTTTCCAGTACCGTCCATGAACAGGCTCAATCAAACCGAGCCTGCAACATTTTCAATTTTGTCAAGTTACTGCCCACGCTCCCTAGAACCGGCTTAAGCAGAATTCAAAGTGAACACGAAAATGGTGAAATTTTGAATTTAGAAACATCCGCAGATGTGTTCATACGGCGGTTATAAGTCTTATCCGATCAAAATTTGATTATGGTTCTGTAGTATATGGGTCTGCAAGAAAATCATATCTTCAAATGCTAGATACCATACATCAACACGGTTTACGATTAGCTTAAGGTGCTTTTCGCACCTCACCTGTAGAAAGACTATTTGCGGAAGCTGGGGAACCGTCACTTCATCTACGTCGAAAAAAAGCTATTACTTCAATATGCAACTAGAATTTCATCTAATAACAAAAATCCAGCTAAAAATATTATTTTCAATCAAAGTTATACTGAAAAATTTGGTAACAAACCGAAGGAAATTAAACCATTAGGCCTTCGTTTAAAAGATGATTTAGATAAACTTAAAATTACTCCAGACAGTATCCTTCAAAATGACGAGGAGGTTGTTCCACCTTGGTTTATAATTTCCAGAAAATTAATATTAACCTTTCAAATTTAAAAAAAAATCATCAAATTCACCTGAACATTTCAAAGAGAAGTTTCTAGAAATTAAGGAAGAACATGAAGATTTTATACATATTTATACGGACGGTTCAAAAGAAGGTTGCAAAGTAGGTGCAGCTGTGTTTGGAAATAACGAGGTTACCAGATAATGCATCAATTTTTACCGCAGAAGCAAAAGCTATAGATTTAGCATGGTCATACATAGTACAGCATACCGATGATAAATTTGTGGTATTTTCTGACTCGCTTTCTGTTTTAATATCCATTAGAAGTATAAAATTCAGAAACTTCTTTTACGATTTCATGATCAATTTATTACATTATATTGGATTCCAAGTCATGTAGGTATACGAGGAAATGAAAAAGTAGATGCTTTAGCTAAACAATCATTAAATTTTCAACTAACTGACATAATGTTACCTGCTTGTGATTTTAGACCGGCTTTAAACAAAGTCATATCATCTGAATGGAAAGCAAATTGGGACAATGCCGTTTTAATAAACTTCACGATATAAACCCATCTCTTGATGTGTCACCATCTCTATTTCTGTCAAACCGCCATGATCAAACAGTTCTTCGTCGATGCCGAGTTGGACACACTAAAATTACCCACTGTTATCTTTTCACGAACGACAATGCCCCTTTTTGTGTAGCTTGTAATGAAATTTTATTGTCAAACATTTTCGTCTTGAATGTCATGATTTTTCACAGGCCTGTAATAGATTTTATTTGTAAATTCACTCAAAATACTCGTTAAAACAATTCCATCAAAAAACCTTATTGATTATTTGAAAGAGATAAACTGGTATTCTAGGATCTAATTGACTCATTTTTATTATCATTTACAAAGTTTTACATAACATTTTAAGCCTGTTATAGCATTCGGCACGATATGGCCAGTTATGTGTTGACCTACCTTGACCTAATCCTGTTAACCCCTAGTGGGGCAAAGGGCATCCACAACAGCTCTCCATCTGGGTCGGTTCATTTCTGCTCTTTCTGCTTCTGCCCAGGTGATATTGCAGCTTTTCAACTCAGATTCTATTGTTCTTCTCCAGGTGGTTGTTGGTCTGCCTCTTCTTCTTTTACCTTGAGGATTCCAATCCAAAGCTTGCCTTGTGATGTTGTGTTGTGGTCGCCTCAGAATGTGTCCTATCCAATGCCATTTACGTTTCTTGATGGTGCTTGAAATAGATGACTGGCCTGTTCTATTCCACAGATCTGAATTGCTGATCTTGTTTGGCCATCTGATTTGTAGGATCTGTCGGAGGCATTTGTTGATGAATACCTGCAAGTCGTGTTCGTTTTTCTTGGTTTGCTTCCAGGTTTCTGATCCATACAGGAGAACTGATTTGACATTGGTCTCAAAGATTCTCAGTTTGGTCTTTTGTCTGATGTTCTTGTTTTTCCATAACGGTCTGAGGGTCACAAAGGCATGTCTGGCTTTCCCAAGTCTCGATTTGATATCACTGTCAGCTCCTCCATTCTTAGAAACCATACTTCCCAGATATGTAAACTGTTTGACGTCTTCAATGGATTGATTGTCTAGTGTGATGGCCGAATTGTTCTGGGTATTTATTCTTAAGGACTTGGTTTTAGAGGTGTTGATCTCCAGGCCTGTTGATTTTGCTGTTGTGTAAAGAGCCGATGTTTTCTGTTGGATCTGCTGGAATTTGTGGGATAGTAAGCTCACATCATCTGCAAAGTCTAGATCTTCAAGCTTGGCAGTGAGTGACCATTGGGTGCCTCTTGGTGGTGTCATGGAGGTTCTCATAATCCAGTCGATGACAACCGAGAAGATAAGAGGTTACAGTAGACAACCCTGGCGTACTCCTGTGTGTACACTGAAGGATGGTGAAAGTGTGGAGTTGTGAATGACCTGGCATTTGTTGTTGTTGTATAACCCTTGTTTGATCTTCACAAGTTTGTCTGGTATGCCGCGTAATGTCGTAGCACCTTCCACAAAGTGACTCTATCGACCATGTCGAACGCCGTTTTAAAGTCAACGAAGTTGATATAGAGATGTGATTGCCATTCCAATGACTGCTCTATGATGATACGTAGAGTGGCAATTTGGTCGGTGCATGAACGTCCACAGCGGAAGCCTGCTTGCTCATCACGTAATTTTTCATCTATTGCCCCTTTAATTCGTTCTAAGACCACTCTGGCTAGGACTTTGCTTGGTAGAGAGAGCAGTTGTATTCCTCTCAAGTTCTGACAGTTGCCTAGGTCTCCTTTCTTTGGAAGTTTAATGATGTAGCCTAAACTCCAATCCTTAGGTATTTCTGTTATGTGTTGACGTGCCGTAAAAATCCAAACAAACAAACATTAAGCATTTACAAAATTTAATTGGTCAAGAACGCCGAATGCTTACTTTTAAACACTCGCAAATTTAGTATTTTATTTGAAATTATTTCTATAAACAGTCGATTAGACTAGATTTTTTAATTGTCAGTGGATGTGGATTATCAAAGAAAATTTCATATGAAACCAGTTGAAAAAAAATAACTTCAAACATTAAGCAAGTTTATAACTACTGCGTTTTAATGTAAACTTCTTTGCTAGTCTGAAAAGTTGAGAGTGCATAATGATTATGAAATGCGATTATTGACATAAATATGCACAAAACTTCGCTTTCTTTCATTAACACTACACTGGATTTGTCGTCCATGTAATCGGGCTGGTTAAAACTATAAACATCTAATACCCACTTACGGATTGTCATTATCGAATTTCGGCGATAATATTTTACAAATACACCTTATGCCAATAAGTTAATCTCTTACTTATAATGTATGTTAAAAGAAAAGGCAAACAAAATGACGTAATATGAATTCTTTAAATCTCTTCAAATGAGACAATCAAAATAATAAAAAGCAATAAAAAGGGCGAATATATATGTACGGTTTGCAAATGCACGGGCGTTTTTTTATCTTTAGAAATGCCATACATGTGTTTTATAATGTTTTAATAATGGATTAAGAGCATTTTGTATGTAAATGTTTTACAACTGACAAAAATAATGCAGAACATGCAGTTATCTTTTTTAAAGATAGCAAATGTACACAAAAGTATTATTTTGACTCCCACACAAAATATTTATTCACTATTATTATACCAATTGCCAACATAGCAATTTAAGCAAATATAGTTCATCTATATATAACAAATAGTAAGTTTTTGAAAAATAAAAATGTCTGAGGTATAATGTCATTGACCTAATTAACAGCTTTATGTATTTTAGTCCTTAATGCATAGCCTTAGAAGTATTTTTGCAAATTCATTTTGATTGTGAACTTTGTCTTTATGTGAAAATTGGCCTACTTTTTCTTTGGACAAGCGTAGTGAAAATCATACGATGTGGATGGGGTTATGACTATTAAAAATATAATCTGCTAATCTTGGAGTGAAATATTTTTTATTGCAGAACTAAATGAATTCTATAAAATTGTAACTGAATATTCCATATTTAAATAAAATAGCCTACAAACTATGTATGGGAATCTGCGTAACTCATTATGGGTCAAGTAAATATCACTCTTTCTTTAAAAAAAATGCCAGTATTTTGACACTATACATACATAATTTGTCTACTTATAGTGTATAGGATTTAAAGCATACCTCGTCTGAAGACAAAACATGTTTTTTTATACTTACAAAAAGACAAGTCTAGCAAATATCAGTATGTTCAAATATCAAATTGACCATAGTTTATCTTTTAAGTTACAAATAAAATCTTTTAAAAACTTTATGAATTATTGTCATGGTACATGCTGCATGTATAAAATAAGATAAACGTTGTGTGATTGACGATTGACGAATGTTTCAATGTCGAAAGATTACATAATATTTAAACTTTAGTGGGTTAAACAAATATCATAAAGGACTATGTATTGATTAAACATGTTCTAATTTCGAAGTCAAAGATGATAGGACCACTTATTACCCGCTAAATGACAAATTTAATCTAGGTAACCGTACAAGGAAGGCATGTTGTCTATGCGATCATTGTCAGATAATAAAACAAGATATGTATGAAATGTATGGAAAGCCATGCTCAGAGAAATGCTACTGAGCTGTTATATTATCGACCCTTGCAGTGATTGAATAGGTGAATGTATTCAAATTCTTAAGCAAGTCCAGTCCGGTCACTAGCACTTTTGATTAGTGTATAAGTAATCAACAAAATATGTTCAAAAGCCTAAGTCGTTGTTTCCTTGAACAAGAAACTTTACACTCATGGTTCCAGGAACGGATTCGAAAATGGATCTATAAGCTTATTGCTTCCTACACAATCAAACTAAAATAAATTCTGTATAACACAAACAAATGTGTTCTTTCTTTCCAGGTTATGGTGCAGTATGGTTTATTTAAACTGGTCAGTTAATCTCAGTCATTTTAAGTATCTATGTGTCTTGGATATGGGTTAACCACTTTATACGTTTCATCGAATATTGTCTTCTATGATAACCAAACAAATGATAACCACAAGCACGCAACAAGCACGCAGGTTAAACGTGATCAGGAAAGAAATAGAACAAAATATCAAAAATTAAAACACATACAAAGTCGTTGACCTAATTGGCGTAAGAACACGTAGTTTGTCCAAACAGACGTAATGTTTTATAAGAATAATTTGTAAATGCGAATTTGTCAGAAAAAAAATATATTGGAATTAAGTCCTTTGATTGTAAAAAAAGGACTTATTATGATGCTCTATCTCACCAAGTTCATTACTTGCAATGAAAATCGGATTATGATCTTTCTGAATGTCCTATGACACACTAAGACGATATTTTCTGAAAACGAAACATAGGGTTAAGATCAAAGAACACGTCAGTCATGTTAAGCAGTGCACAAATCGTAATATATTAACAACATTTTAGGAACTAACTGGACTGTAAGTTTTTAACAAAAATAATTAAATTTAGATGGAATTTTATTAAAGAATTCTTATGGGAAATATAAATAAAAAACATTATATTAAATACACTAATAATTGGTTCCGCCCTGTACATTTCGTAAAAGAAAAAAATCAAAAACACGGATATTTTAAAATAGTTCTCCTGAAGATGTTATTTTCTTTTTTAATATATCAAAATAAATTTGAAAAGATATGTTAAGAGAAACTATTGAACAAATGAAATGTTTGTGTGCTTACTTATACACATTTTTTTTTTATTTTAACATCTTTAATTTACAATGATCAGATACGAAATGACTTAAATCTGTAGTTTCAAGTGCTTAAAAACCCGTAAGTTTTGTGATTGATATTGTTACTGTGTGTATTTTTTATGCGTTTATTTAAGTTCGCCACCGGAAACCCAAATGGGCGACCGTGCACTCAAGTCGGGCCATCCTAGAGAGTCCCGTCGAGATTTTTTCGTCGATATTTTCCCAGCTTTATTGGTGGAGGAAGACCCCAGACGGCCTTCCGGCAATTATGTCAGGCACGAGCGGGCACCTGGGTAGAACCACCGACCTTCCGTAAGCCAGCTGGATGGCTTCCTCACATGAAAGATTTCGACCCGAGTGAGGATCGAACCTACAGCGGTGAGGGACCCGTGATCTCAAATCAGCGACTTTAAGCACTCGGCAACGGAGGCCCCCCCTATGTGTATACTACACTTGCAAAAAAAATTATAAATTTATATAATTATGTAAATAAAGAATTTTCAAACATCGAACAATATGCAAAATGTGTACTGCAAATATTTGTGCACATTATATTTAATCAATAAATTATATGCATTCGTTTGTTATTGGCAAATTTAACTTAGAATTTATAGAAAATAAATTTCTTATTACCTCCCTTTATTTACATAAAATGTTCGGTAAATATCTTTATAAATAATCCTTATTGGAACTTACAATATTGACAAATCTTAATTTGAGCATCATATTTATGAAATAAATCCATGAAAAAAATGTGTTACAGGATCTTTAAATATGTATCATGAAGTGTCATAGATAACTGCATAACAACGCCTTTATGTTTGGAATGTCACATACAAGGCTTTTAATGAGAAAAAAATAAAAGTGATCATCTACGTGCGAAAGTAAAATGTTAACATTTTCCAACATATTATATAACGTATTCAAACTAAGTGTACAGAAAAAACACTGGATACGTCTGTCTTATCAATTACAAAATGCAAGGAAGTACGATTCCATTAAAACATTATAGGCAATGACAATATAAATATTTTAGAATTATTTTTTTTTTCACATCATCAGGTGCCGTGTGGCACCTGTAAAGCCACATGAACACTGTTTAAGTAAGATAATCTTACAATGGAATGTAAACATATTTTTTGTCTTGGTAGAAAAAAATGGAAGACAAACACCGGTCATATGAAGATGAGGAAGAGAATGCATCAGATTCACCTCTTTATGAATTGAATGAAACAAACACATGCTACCCATGCACGCTGGAAAAGAAATTAGCCTTTGCAAAAAGGTATTGCAATGAATGTGAGGAGAGGTTGTGCGAGGATTGTGTAAGAAGTCACTCAAGAAGGAAGGCAACTGCTTCACATAAGCCTGTACCGACCGACAAAGGTTATGGAAGTATTATGTTATGCACTGCTTGTAAAGATGACGGAACTATGATACATGCTGCTACTTATTGTAAAGAATGCGAGGAATGCCTTTGCAGTGACTGCACACGTTCTCATGGAATTAGAAAAGCAACGACGACACACAAACCAATAGCATTAAAGGATTTAGATAACAAGGCGTTAAACACAGATGATTTAACTCCGTTTTGCAAACCTTGCAAGGATAACGATAGAGAGACACGTTCACTATCATATGGCAAAGAATGTGACGAACTTTTATGCGACCCGTGCACAGAAATCCACCGCAACAGGAAATCAACAAACAAACATTATCCAGTACCAGGTTCTGTATTTCACATGAAGAGAAAGGAAACGACTATGCAAGACCAAAAGCTGTGTGATCCATGTCAGTTTCAAAAATTTGAGAAAGATGCAACATCATATTGTGTAGAATGTGAGGTATTACTCTGTGCTGCATGTACGAATTACCACTGTTTAAAAAATATGACAAAGTCCCATATACTTGAAAGTCCGGATTATGTGGAATATATTACCAGAGAATGTGATATTTGTGAGACAGAAGATAAAAAAGCAGTCATGTTTTGCAATACTTGTGAGAAAGCAATTTGTGAAACTTGTAAGCTGAGGCATGAAGGACAAAGTTCGACCAAATCTCATTCAATTGAGATAATCACCGATAGGAAGCTAGAAAGATTGATAAGATGTGACAACTGTATTGAGAATATCATAAAAGCAGAAAAGTTTTGTACAGTTTGTGAAGAAAATTACTGTGTTGGATGTGTAAGTAACCATAGAAAACTAAAGGCGACTAGAGGCCACAAACTAATACGAGCTGTATCTGTTCAAATATACAAAAATACCCAAAGGAAAGAAGATGCTCTTTGCGGTGATTGCAGAAAAAATGAAAACGTATCAAAATATTGTTCCGTATGCCAACATTATTTGTGCAAAGAATGTTGCGAGATACATCGGCGTAGTAGATTTACCATGTCCCATAAACTCCAAGAGAACGTAAAGATTGAAGATGTAAACATTCAAGACTGCGACTCCTGCAAGTCACCCGGTTCAGCAGAATCCTTCTGTGAGCAGTGTGGTGAATTCTTTTGCACAATCTGCAATAAGCATCACCAGAAGTTCAAAGAAACAAATGGGCATGTAATAAAATCAGTTCAGGATGGTATCCTTCAAAGAATGGTTCAACAACAAAGTATTGATGAAGAAATTCAGTTACGGTTTGTTTCTAATTATGTTTTGTGGTTGCACATTTCTACCTGACAGATTATGATTTGTATGTTTTTGGCATTAGAATCATGTATGTACCATCCTTGTAAATATAAAACGAGTTTGCTAAAATCAAATAAACACTTCACTTAACATATAGGCTCATAAAGGACAGTGTATAGGATCTAAAATAGTTACCAAATCTGCAATATAGAATTGTCTACCAATCATTTCAAATCATTGGCCGGATTTCAGAATTGTGTCTTAGAACAACCATTCTGTATAAATTCAAAACTTTCATATTGAAATGTTAAACTTATCGGAAGCCAGCATATGTTGATGTTGAAAGTGACATGTATTAATAACTATAACATATTCTATAAGCTAAAATCAAACAGAGATTGTAGTATTTCAAATTTGGTCAAACCGTATTGCTTTAATTTGTAAATCAATCTCGTTTCTTTTAAAATTATACTTCCGGGTTCAATACATGGCTATACCAGAAAACATGATTTTATATAGACTGTCGGGGATAGCCAAGTGACAATCCCAAATGAATGATGATCAAATCGTTCCTAAACACATTTTCATATTTTTAACTGAACTTTTACCCATATGTTTGACCTTGACCAAAGGGACCTGAATTTTGCACAGAACACTTTGATTCACAATGGTAAACATCTGTGCTCAGTTAAATTGGACATGTTTTATAAAAATTCATTAAAATCCCTTCAGGCGTGTAGGAGTTCCAGACAAAATAAATTAAGATATTTCATCATCTTTTGTGACCTTGACATTGCATATATTGACATAAATTACAAGTGTCACAGATGTAGGCATGATAATGACCGTTTGTGTTACAATCCCTCAGTAAATGATGACTGAATAGTCTCTATACAAATTTTCATAATTTTATTTGATTTTGACTTCTAAATGTGACATTGACTTAAGCCGCTGGGACTTGAATTTTGGAGCGAAACTCAACCTCAAACTTGTGAACATTTGTCCAAAGTTGTATTGAAATATATCGATGCCTGTAGACGGTTTGCTCCGCACAAGCAATTTTTAATGACCTCCATGAGTGACATTGACCTTTGACCTAAAGATCTTGTTCATGTCCGTGACACGTCTTCTCATACTGTTGTGAACATTCTTATGAAGTTTTATCAAAATCCCTCCATACGTGTAGGAGATATGCTCCGGACAAAAAGCGGACGCAGCCCGTAACCTGTAAGCGTCGTTCCTATAACGACATGTTTTTCAAACGGGCATATAATAAAATAATTGTTTGTTATAATTATGAGCATTTATTAATAACAATGTTATATACAAAAATATTATGAAGGAAAAAAATGATCATATGCATATAGGAAAATTTATTCTCCGTGTTAAATTGTTACATATGAACGTTAAATTGCAAAAATTGATAAATAACTTCCGTCTGTCATCTGTGTTGTAGAACAAAAATTACGTTAAAATTAGAGTTTTGTTCATTGAACGCCGCCTTTCCTTGTTGATCTTGTTTATCATATTTTGTGTACAAAAACAGTTACAAAATATATAACTAGTTACAATTTATAAAATATACGATTTTAGTCGTGTGAAACGATCTATTAATTTAAGTATATATGACATGATATATAGCATATTTCTCTGGAATTAACTTTTGAATCTATTTTCCTTTGGCTTTTTTGTTACTGCACTATTCGAATGAAGTTCTTTTATTTCTGAACTGCTGTGCAAATTGTGATAATATGTTTTGTTCACGAGCTAAGCTTTGTGCGTATTATGACATCCCTTGATATTCTTTACAACACAGACCCTTTGTCTTCATTCAAAGTACATGGATTTTAATTTGTTATAATATGCCATTATAAATAAATCTGGACATAAGTCAGAACGAACCAGAAGGGGGGGGGGGTAGATCATGACGAATAATAGAAAAAAAAATTTCATTTCTACTTTGTTTTACTGGATAACAATAAAATTCATATCCAACAATTTAAGAAAATAAGGCAATGATTTGCCTATAATTTAGTGGGTTTTTCTTTATTCTTCAACAGCTTATTTATTATTTCCTTAGTAATTCACTGCACTTCCCGGGGAAACCGAGATCTTTGGATATCATGGTAGATACAGTTACACTAACATGGGATCCACCATCAACAGTTAGGGATGGCGACTGTTATCAAATCAGCTATAAAGATAGTAGCCACGGGGAAAACTGGGTGTTTTATCAAGGTGAATTTAAGACTTCAACTGCCATCCTAAGCAATTTGAAATCAAATACAGATTTTGTTTTCCGAGTTCGTGTAGTTAATGAGGATGGCGCGAGTCCTTACAGTGAGCAAAGTGATAAAATCTTTACATTAGAATCACAAGCTTCAAGACTCGTTCACTCATCAGTTCTGAAAGAGAAAGGAAATCCGTCACCATCCATTTATGCCTTACCATTGGCTGAAATAAGGGAGGCAAGAAATGAGCAAGCGAAGACAAATAAATTTCAGCTCGGTATATATCTCTATCTTTTATTTTTATCTGCCATGTATTAATTGTCTTTAGTTAAGGTCTTTCCATACAGTTGACAAACTATATATTCAATTTTTTTACTACAGTTAAAGCGCGTTCCTTTTACTGTATATTTTTAATGAATTGTACTAAAATGTTAAATGTCATTGTAACAATTATTGTTTGATTTTATTAACCTACAAATTGCACCCTGATAATACTACAGTGCATAGTTTTTGGAAATGTCCGGAGATGAATGGACAGAACTTACATGTATTTGTATTCAGCGACTGTATATGTTACATACTGCGTAAAAAGTGTTTCTTTTTCTATGTGTTTTTGCTATTCCTATGTTTGTGTGTTTTAATGCATCGATTTCTATGATATTCCTTTTTAATATATTCGTATTTGAAATTCCAGAATTGAGCATTTTTTAACTGTGACAAAGTTAAATTTATTAATATTAATATCATACAAACGATCTTATTGTGTGTAGGAGCATCACCGACAAACAGTAGAGAACCAAAGACAATTATGTTGGTAGGCGCCACAGGAACAGGAAAAAGTACCTTAGTAGATGGAATAGTAAACTATGCGTTAGGTGTTCAATGGGACGATCCGTTTAGATTTACAGTCAAAGATGTGGAACAAAAGGTAAAACATAGAATAGAAATTATCAAGTAACTAAAGTGATTATAATTAGTGAAGCGAAGTTTTATATTCAATAAATCGCTAAATTATAATTCTGATAATGCCAAAAAACCTGAATTTTAAAAAGTTTTAATCAAATTGTTCGTTGTAGGTTGAAGCAGAATGGATAACGTGTTACACACTCAACCCAGAGATGGGAAGTCGTCTTGACTATCCATTAAATATCATAGATACCCCAAGTTTTGGAGATACAAGAGGTCTGAAAAGAGATCAGGAAATTGTTCAACAAATCAGTCAATTATTTACTGAAAAAAAGCCAAAGGGTGTCACATTCATAGATGCAGTCTGTTTTCTTATAAAAGCTCCAGATGCTCGTCTAACAGATGTCCAAAACTATGTGTTTCAATCGATTATGTCACTTTTTGGCAAAGATATTGAAAACAACTTTTGTTCTCTTGTAACATTTGCTGACGGCATTGACCCACCTGTTCTAGCTGCTTTGAAACAATCAGGATTGCCATTTGGTAAGGTTTTCACATTTAATATCTCGAGTCTATTTGCCAAGAATTCTAAACTCAGTACTTCTAGTTTATCATTGATGTTTTTGGAAATGGGATTGAAATGTTTTCGAGCTTTCTTTGGTTATCTGGAGCAGGTAGAAAAAAAAAGTCTCCAGTTGACAAAACATGTTATTGATGAGCGTTCACGGCTGAAAGAGACAATTCAAAATCTGCAGAAAAATCTTGAGACTGGGCTTATCAAAGTTAAAGATATGAAGCAGGAGATACAGATTATTGAGAATAGCAAAGCCACGATAAAAGATAACATAAATTTCGAGTATGAGGTTGAGGAAACACAACAAAAGATTAAAAAATTACCCCGTGGCTTGCATGTCACCAACTGTACCCATTGTCATTTTACTTGTCATGTGAGATGTGAAATTGCTAACAACGACGAAATTGCCGGATGTAGTGCAATGGGAAGAGACGGAAATTGTCAGGTATGTCCGGAAAAATGCCACTGGAAGAAACATGCGATTACACCTTACATATTTGAGTATGTTACTGTCAAAATAAAGAAAACATTTGCAGATATGCAACAGAAATATAAAGAGGCAACAGGGAAACTTCTGTCACAAGAACAAATAGTAAAAAAGCTTGGAGAAGAACTAAATGACTTACTGGACGATATTGAAGACATGATGGTAGCTATAAAAATGTGCAATGAGCGTTTGAAGGAAATTGAACCGAGACCAAACCAATTAACAATGACAGATCATATTGATTTGATGATAGAAAACGAGAAGCGTGAAAAGAAAGAAGGATTTGTGCAGCGGATAAATATCCTAAATGACTTCAGGAAAAGGGCTCAGATTTCTATTGATGTTAAACACTTTAGCAAAGAGGCTCGATCTACCCTAGGTGCTGTTGGAAAAAAGAGGAACAAGAGTACAGACTTAATGGCAAGATTTCAGACATGGTTTAAATGATCCACCGTAGATTCAAAAATGTTTAATTAAATACACAATCTTATGCAATGTTAAAACATATAGCATACCGATCTCTTGTTTCTTTTTACACTGTATGATAGTTTTTACAGGGTTAATATTCAAAACTTCTTATGTTTAAGCTAATTTTAGAAAAAGAATATTAATAAAAACAGTAAACATATTACACCACTGAGTCGCTGCAACAGAAATTTTAGAGGTTAAAATTCAAAGTCGGTCGTGCAGTATAGCTTAAAACTAGCACATTGCTGTGTAATGTTTCATAGAAAAGAAAGTTGAACAAAACTTATTTAAAAATCTATGGTACTTCATTTAAACGTATTGATTGATGACCCCTAACCCAAAGGAAAGATATCCTTTCTCAGAAAACAGTTTTATCCTCGGACGTTGAGGCCTCGACATTAAATATAAATGTCCGCGAAATTTTACAACAAGGTTGTTATATATTCATCGATAAGCATCATTATAGTTGACGACAGTGTATTTAAATTTTCATCAAAAAGATGTATAAGTAGAACACAAATTCCACACATCGTTGTAAGGAAACAACGAAATCAAATGTTCACTATTGGAGATTGAATGCAAATAAAATTAAAATAAATATAAAAAAGTGAAAGGAGGGCACGTTGCCTAGTGGTCAATGTCATTGTTTCCAAACAACTATCCCCTCAACGCCGTTGGATTATTTAATGTAAGGAAGCTCTACAGCTTGCTTTTGGAACGTCGGTGTTCCTGCAAATTCGTTCCTGAAATTCTACATTGAGGGCCACCGGATGGCATCTATCACAGTAAGCTGGAAAGTCGCCATATGAATTTTTAGAGTCAGTGTTGGGGTTGGTGCGACGTAAAAAAAACAAAGAAAAAAAGTATAAAAAAGAGAGAGAAAAGGTAAAAGAATCGTATTAAGAATAATGTATACATGTATTGATTTTCTGATTAAAGCATGCTTTGCTTTTAGGTAACCTGAATAAACTCGGGCGACCAACTACTATCCTTTTTACTATCCGTCGTCGTGATTCTTGCGTCGTCCGTAGTGCATTAACATTTTAACGTTTTAAGCCCCTGGAACTACTCAATTCCAACCACTTTTGGCATAAAACTTCTATGGGGGAAGAAAAACAAAAATTGTGAAATTCATGGCCCCCGCCCTCACCTGTGGCCTGGGGGTCGTATAAAAATACAATATTTAAACACTTCTGTTTTAGTCCTGGACATCAAGCAAGCAAACTATTGGCATGATTGTATTAAGCATTGAGCACGCTACCAAATTTGTGAAATGCATGGCCCTAGGGTCAGTGATAATGGTGGTAGGGCTCTATTCCTGGGCATTTAGTAAATAAAGTTAATGTATAGTTATGATGAGAGGTGATGTCAAAATGGTGAATTTTATGGCCCTAGGGTCACTGTTCTGATTTTTTAGGGGGGAGCTCTAATGATTATGTGGTGAAAATGCATTAATTCTTTGAAATCTTCTCCTCTGCTCTTGGGTATTATGCTAATAGATATGATAGGGAGAGTTTCTCTTTCAAAATTGTGAAATCTATGGCCCTCGGGGTCTGGGTTCATGTCCAAGGTGGGGCTAATTTGGGTGTATCTTGTAAATACATTTTAAGAAAAATTGTTCTTTAATTACTATATTGCGATGAGGCAGTTTTAAGCCGTTTGAATAATTATAATAAGTAGTGAGCCTTTAACATTGTTAAATGCATGACCCCTTGGATTTTTAAGGTTTATGTTCCAGGGAGAGACTGTAAACACACAATAAAAAATTACACATAATACTATATAAGGACAATGTATTGAAATTAAAATAATTATATGATATTTGATGTTTTTAATCAATGGTTTAACGTTTTTTACGCAAAAAGAAAACATATAAAATCTAAATAAATAAATATGTTTAACCGGGAATATGCACACAAACAGAAGATTTTTGTTGTCTTGAGTGTCTCGTACAGATTTTAGATCAAACGGTGGGTATGAATTCACAAAATGTCCTGAAGTAAATAAAACTTTGCTTGGCATACCTACTTATCCCTGTTACTATCATTCTATATTGTTTCTGAAATGATAATCCAGACTCCTACTGAGCTAAGGAATGGCGGATCAGTTCGGAGCGAAATGGCAGTTTCCACACACACACTTTGAGCTCTACATGGAAACATGTGGCCAAACTATGTCCCCCAAGAACAGTGGCTCATTAAACTATAATTTCAAAGGATACCACTCTATTGTGCTATTGGCCCTGGTTGATGACGACTACAAGTTTACATGGGTGAATATCGATGCACAAGGAGGATGTTTAGACGCATAATTCTGGAATCAGAGCGACCTCAAGTTGGCAATCAAAAGGAGGTTGTTGGCATGCCGGATGAAACACCCCTTCCAAGTGATGACAAAAAGCTTGAAGCAAAGTGATCCTTCGGAAGCTTTAATCACACCAAAATTACATGAATATTGCATACTCGATTTGATTGAGTCTCTACATGAGGGGTAATGAAAAGGCGCAACATCCCTCACGCCCCCAAGCACCAGTTTGAGTGGTACTCGATTCTCAACACTAAATAGTTTGTTTGTTTGTTTGTTTGTTTGTTTCATTGTACGCCTTTTACCAACAGTATTTCAGTGATATAGGCAGGTTGTTTCCTAACCATCGTTCCTGGAGAGTTACACCAGTACTAGACTATCTTCCTCCGCGCTAAACACTAAATAGTGCTGGCATCAATGATTCCGAAGAACCAAACAAATATTACAACACTTAAGTGACGCACAGGGCAACTTTTACAGCTGCCAAACGATTTCTAGAAACAAAGTAATACTTCGGAAGCTTTAATCACAACAAAATTACATTGCACAGTCGATTTGATTGAGTCTGTGCATGACGGATAATGAATAAGTGCAACATGCCTTACGCCCCTAGCCCCGGCATGAGTGGTACTCTCAACACTTGATAGTGCTGGCATCAATATCAATAGGATATTATATCATCGCAGAATCTGCGTATACTATGAGAATTTCGCTTATGAAACCATTCTCAAGATGAGGCCTTGAGAAGGATGAGCAACTTTTTAACTATCGCCTGACAAGAATCATCTTCGCCAGAATCGTTGGTCTCTGCGATTGGTTTTCTAGATGTTCTTTTTTTGGGAAGCTTTTTTTTAAAAAAATGAGCATGCAATAGATTTTGGTCGGATATACTAGTCCGTATAGATCCTTGGCGTTTCGATCTACGTATCAGACCGTACTTATTCTTACTAAGATATACGCGGAAATCACAAGATATTAACGGCGACACTGGCGCATGAGAACTGAGAAATAATAAAGGTTTATGTGGACCTAGGGAAAACACCAACAGAGACGATGTAAATGATGAACGATGCTAATCAATCCTCAAATGTAAGTATAAATCTTACATTTAAGAAGTATAAAAGATTTTCGGACGGTAGGGAGTTTCTAAAATACGACAATCTGGGAGGACGGAAACGAATAGTGAACGCACAGGGAATAGTCTAATCGAGATGGGGGGGGGGGGGCTTAGTTTGACATTGCATCACATATAGACGTTTGTTATGGCAGCATCTTATCAATTTGGAGAAACCAGCTAAAGTTAACAAAGGTTCATGCGCGCTGGGTGTGAATTCTTGAAAAGCACTGACTTTCAACGTAAGTAGTCGAAGTCGAAATGTTATCTTGGCGTCGTTACCGTGCGCCGGTAACATTGCACTAACAAATTAAAAATAATTGCTTTGGGATACCCACGGGGCCTATCATGCCCAAATTTAACGGATACATAGAAAACTATCGATATAACTACACAGTATTTTTGATCTTATCTGTGAAAACAAAATTAATGTAACACAGATAAATGTATTTTTTCGCCCTCGTATCCTTTTCATTTATCGTTTGTCTGGTATTTGTTTTAGATTTGCTCTTTGTTCATAATACAAAATAAGTTTGTTTCAAATTATGTCTATGTAAATGTTAAAGAATTTCATGCATCGTAAAAATAATTATTTTTTCTGGTTATTCTTTTTTCATTAAGGAATCAACTTCATACATCAAATATATCTTCCTTATCATCAAGCATATCTTATGTGAGAAGCTTTTTATTACTAGCTACAATATTTCAAGAATTATATCCCTATGAACTTTTTTTCCTGAAAGAAATGTTGTTGTTTTTCTTGTTTTTGTACTATAACTTCTTCATTTCGTACGGTATCTACTTCAAACTTCAAGAATTCTATAAGACCTTCTTGTCTTTCGTTCTAATCCTCTTCTTTGAATATTTTTAAATTTTGTATGTGTATATATTTCAAATGTTATTATGTAAATATTCTGAAAATAAATATGTTTAAACTAAACTTATTTCTATATTCCTTCAAAAATATATTTATCAACATATTTGTCATAAGTGATAAGATCTATAACGCTTAGAGATCCTGTATTTCAAAAATTATCTCCATTTAGTTTTTGAACTTGGAATTTATCTGAATTTATTTAAAATTTGTTATATTTTTAAAATTAGTATCTTTGTTATTCATGTTATTTTAAATGGTATCTACTCTAGACTCTTAAGATAATTGTTCTTTGTCATTACTCACATAATGCATGACAAGGTTCATAATTCAATCATCTTTATTTCAAGAGTAATTTCCATTTTAAACTTTTTTTTCATTGCAAACTTTAATACATTTTGTTCTTATCATTTTTGTAACTAAAGGTCTTTTCCATTTGAGCATAGAAATGTCTGTTTAACTTGACATGGTCAAATGCACATTATATGGTGAAAATATAATATTATAGAAAATTTGAGTGATATTTTCTTGATGCTGAAATAGAAAATATATTTATATCATAACTGATTTTTTATACTTTTGTTTTCCTTTACTGCGTCCAGTATTTAATTAGTCGAGCTTTGCTGTCTCCTGTGACAGCTCTTGTTTTATTTTAAGTACGATTGACATTGACCCTAGGGGGTCCATAATCAATATCAACCGGGGTCTTCACATAAAATTGCTAGATAATAAGTTTGATTACAAGATCTCATTCCAAACACTCGTTTTTGTCCTGAAAGCATTTTTCTATTTAAATAACGGTGAACAGGGGGTCCAAAAGCAACCCCAACCGGGGTATTCACATAAGATTGCTAAATACCAAGTTTGATTACAATTACTCGTTCCAAACTATAGTTATCGCCCAGAAACAAGAAAACTCGGTCGACCAACTCCTATATACCTCATAAACTTCGTTTGTGGTGGCATGATAACTAGTTTCATCACCATTAAACCATGATGTTTGAACTTATCTTTTTATTCATGGCTGTATTTATGAGAAATTCGTCTAACAGTTAGAGCTACCAGCGGGTAAAATACATTTTCATCTACAAGTTGATATTGAGGGAAATTTCTCTTGAACTTGTATTTAAGCATGGAATAGAAATGTTGCTTGTTTGCTGTGTAAGATGTTGTTTTATTTCATCTCGTGAACTTCTTAAACAGAACATGAGTGGTAAATGAGTTTTTGACGATGAGCGGCGAGTTGCATAGCTTTCCTTAATAAATGACTCATTTTTTAAATTTTATATTTAATTATTTATATGTATTTTTGCAAAATGACCAATCAACACATTGTATTGAAATTCACGTGACGAAAAAAATAAAATAAAAAAGTGTTTGATTCAGATGGATTTTATTTCGATTTGTTAATTCTACATCTATTCATAGAAAGAAATCTTATTTGAGGATTATTTCAGACAATTAAGAATTGATGACAGATGTGTAAACGTTCAAGAACTGAGACGCGTGTCGGAAAACATCCTTTGGGCTGGTGACTGTCATTGCTTTTAAGAGGCAGAGGCAATATCTGGTGAATTGAATAAATTGAAATAAGTTTTATATTTTGTATAACGTTTGAGATTTAAGTTATTTGGCAATTTCATCTTTGCTTTGCTCTATAAAGCCCGATATGTGAGCTTAAATAAAATTGAGGTACCACATAGGGAAGTCTTTCAAAAATAAGTCTCTTCATTGATAAGGTTGAACTAATTTTTTTATTCTTTCCAAGTATAATGTTCACGTATACATCAGTAATCTACTCAAAAGCATAAACTACTTTGTCATACTCACAATACTGTATATCCTGTAAGACTTAGTGCTTAAATGTTTAAATCAAAAGATTCTTTTTTCATATTAATGTTTGTGGTGAGTGCGCTACAGCCGCACAAATTTATTCCCTTTTTTGCTTCGACAAGAAATGTGAAGATTGTTTTAGTACCATTTTGGTTAAGGTACGATGTAGTAATTTTTACATTAAATAGCATGGAACATTCGCTTATTAAATACACCGTTTTAAACACTGTATCCAAAAACTGATTGAACATGTAACATTAATTCATATTTTTCATTCTTCATTTACACATTATTTAATAATTGTATTTCATGAATTTTATCAACTTGTTTTGACTTTTTTTCATTTTCATATTTTAAAATTAATACAATAAAAAGTAAAAAAGGAAATGCTGTTATATAAAAACAAAATAAACATTCAATAATTCTGAACTTTAAACGTGTTTTTTTTATTTTTGTGAAATAATTGTTTACATTTAAATTTTCTTTTGTGCATAATAACCTACTTGTAATTTTTGCTTGAAGTTATTTGCAACATTGTATTAAGTACACTTCTGCTAATCAAGGTGGATCAAAATTTTGTTAATTTAAAGATGTTGTTGATAGAGACGATAAATTTATTCCACGAATCAACTAACCTAGTGTTAGAAATTGAATATATTGGGCGAATTTTGAAATTTGATATTGTGTTGTTAACGTTATGGTTAATGTGTGTGATATACGAGTTTTTTTTATATTTTATGCAGCAATGTATTTAATTTTAGCTGCCGGAATATTATATACTTACATTCTTTCTTATGATAAAGAATGTAGGAATGTAGATCTATTAATTAGAGATATCTATTTAAGAGATATATAATTTTATGAATGTGAAATGGATATTGTTGTATAGATGAACTTACCAAAAACGAAACAAAAGGATCATCACCGTGCATATCCAGTAACGCAGAAATGTACAAATAACGTTAAAGTAACACCGAATCTGTGCAACGTTATTGGCAAAACGAATAACACAGTAAGAAAAAGAAACTCTAAATCAAATTAAAAGAAATGAATTAGCGCATACGACTGCTACGACATTATACTTAAATCAGCATTACATTTTTCAGGAATATGTTTTCTTCTTTAAATCATTCGTGAGAAGGAAACCCTGATTACCGTTTTGATGGTGACTTTTGTTTTTCGTCAAATAAATATGTACATTTAACTCATTTACAACATTATTTTTCATGTTCTGTATACCTAAGACATTTTTCAAACTACAAGTGTTGTATATCAATAGAAGGAAGCTGGTAAAATAAGTTTTGGCTACTATTAATGAGATAACCGCCATTGCTTCAGTGCTTCATTTACGAATTTCATGGAAATATTTTTGATAAGATTTATAGTAAAATGTCTCAGCAACCGTATACACTAAATCACTTCTTCCAATTTGATGTACAATAAAAATATTGGTCAATTTACTTATCGCGGTGCTCGTTTTAGTCACTAAATTGGACAATTCTGCATTACCTTTTGCACAATTCATGCGCTATTTGCACATTCCTGCGTTACTGAATATGCACGTGAATATGTATCATTCAATTCTATAATGAGTATTGTTGTTAAGTGTTATTTTCTTCATTTTTTGTTATGATTCTTATATTCATAAACTATAGAAATGTAATAAGATTTAAAAAATTATAGCAAAACGAAAGATGTATTTTTGTTCTTTTATCCATTTCACATACCTGTAACTAATGTCGAGTTGTCTAAAATCCTTCTTTAAAATTCTAAAATTGACTAATAATCCTATTGTTAACTTAGTAAAAGCCTACTTGGACATTGGCAACAAATAAATGAAATAAAATATACAACACAACAAGCATCACTGCGAATAGTTTGAAATTTAAAACATGTATGTCTTACCTTGAAACTTGTCAAACATGTGGAAAAATAGACAGAGGAATGCAAGATATGCTGTCAACAATATTCTGTTTCTAAAAAAAATCAAATAAAGTTAATTTGCTAAGAAATAAGAGTGTACTTAATTTAAAGTTCTAGTTTATTTCCAGTGTGGTGCAAAAGTAAGTGTTCAATTGCAGTTGTTCCTGAAATATCTTTTGATGAATCAAAGTCACTTTCCATAAGTATCATAAATCTTCATTTGAAAGGGATATTCAGGATAGATTTCAGGTCAATCGTAAATTTAATTTAAATAAAAATCGTAAGATCGTAGAGACATAGCACTTCAACAATGCACTTTTCCGTATCGCATTACATACAGTTCATCTACGTTTTAAGTTTATGTTTTGTTTCTTCCTTTATTTATTTATTTTTGTCGTTTTTGGCTTATTTGGGGGGAAGGAATAGTTTATTCCTTTTGTAATCTCTTCTGTACCGTTCGAAAATATGTCAGCTAGTAATTGGAAAACAACAAACTAAGCATTGTCCATATTTGAATTATTCCAATATTCATGAATGCTGGAACAGGGCAAGCAATGGTGTATTTTATTAAATCTGGTCTTGACAGCTTGAGGGTCAAACCAACAATCCCTACGTTGAGAAGCAGACAGTCGTACAACTAGGCGTAACTTTTAAAATGTGTTATTTAAGTTATAATTAACACATCAATTTACAGTACGTATTCGGTTTCTGCACTGTCAGTGCATGGACAATATCAGTAAATATAAAATTCAAATTACGTTGTTCCATTAATAAAATAATTATTAAATAATAATAATAAGTTAATGAAATGATGCTTCATCTTCAACTGAACATTCCGAGTAGATACTTCAAAGAATTTCATCAGTTTTCAATAAAAATATAACCAGGAAAGCAAAGAAATGTATCATTCAAATTAAGAGTAGTTTTTATTTGACAGCAAATGTTTGATATAAATTTTTTGAAAGAATAGAGATTATTGGAGAGTACTTAGAAACATATGTAGGTGAATATTGCAGACTTGGTTTAACGCCGTTTTACCGATACAAAGCCGCTCAAAAAGGCCAATGAAACATATTTCAATAGTTCAATAAATGAAAAATAAAGACATTGAATTTGCTCATGAGTTGCTATGTAATACAGGCAGGAAAGTGTCACAATGAAGGTTCAATGATAACCACGGAATGAACACATCTGCAGATGTTTCTAAATTCAAAAGTTCGCCATTTTCGTGTCTAAATGTTGAATTCTGCCTAAGCCGGTGCTATGGGATGTGGACGGAAACTTAAACTTTCCCGTACCGTCCAAATTAAATCCAAATTAAATGTATACCGCATTTGATCTTGCATGAGGTTAATCTGCTTGTAATTAAGGCTATTTACCTTCATCAAAATAAGGTCAGTTTTTCCTTTGAAACTGGACCTAAGATTTATAACAATTTCGGTCATCTTTTATCACAGAATTAAGGTGAAATGGAATTGTTAGTGATACCTGTGAATCGGACTTCCAGCACTGTGCAGGTCACTGTCGTTCGCTGTGATTGATCATAAAATTATATGAACATTCTAGAGTCTTTCACACTGTACCTATGTTTCGGCATGTATATAAGTTATCAGTTCGAAGGCAACCGTTACTGGTTAACTGCTTGACAGCCTGCCTAGGATCGAAATGGTGGCTGAACTGTGATCTTGGCAATTCAGTGTGACTTACTGTCGTAATCCGGAGTAAAAACTACCACCGTAGTACTGTACGTAGTGGTTTGCCTGTTTGCAAAGTGCAAATATGTACTTATTTTTCATTAATATGGTATTTACTGGAACGGTTATAAAAAATTAATTTATAAAATACATAACCACTTAAGACGATACATCTGCTGATATTCTGCTGATTTTTTTTCTAAATTCAAAGTCTCGTTCTGCTGGTGGCGTGGACGTTAACTTGTACCGTCCATACAAACCGAGCCTGCAGCATTTTCAATTTTGTCGTTTTTTTTGGCGTTCTTTTGGTTTTCTCTTTTTCTCTATTTACCGCTTGAAGTCAAGTACACAAATTGCAGAAAATGTTTAGAAATACGTCTCAGATTAACTCAGTTTGGAGTTGTTTTCCGTCACAAAATAGCTCAGTCAAGTGAAGTGTCGACAAGTCATTGTTTCCTTTTTAATTTTGTTGTGTGATGACGACGTCGACAAAACAACAATAAAAATAATAATGATCATCATTTAGATTAAGCTTTTATGTGTTCTCCTGAACTTTCCATTTAGTTTTTTATTCAAATATTGAAACAATAAGATCACTTTTCTTAAGTTATCAATATTATTGTAATAAAACAACTATCTTGGTAATTAATTTTGTTATTAAAATCATAAACTACCACAGTACTTAGTTTGCAGGTTTTGATTTCTAATTGATTATAATTGACTTTAACAGTTAAAGGGAAGTAACACTGATTCCAAATTTACTATTTTCTCCGTTTATAAGTCTTTCAGTTTTGTACTTTGATATTGAAACAATTAAGATTAATAATTGTAGTGTGTTTTATATTCTAAGTTAAAAAGGGGAATGGCTCTAAAAATAATGCTTTCAGAAGTAAGTCTAAATGCAATTGCACCTTGTCATGATCAGCAATTATTCCAAGTTTCAAACTTTTTGAAATATTTGAATAAAAATTTCTAGTTACATGGGCTGAACCTATTTATAATCTGGTATTTATCTTATGGTAATAAGTGTGAATGGCAATTGAGTTCTCATTTGCAGTATCAATAAACAAATGTATGTGTAATTCCATTCTGGATGAAATAAGTCATATTATACCATATATAATAAATAACAAACAGGGCTTTATAACGTCAAACGTGTTATTTTCTCAAATTACCCAATATCAAACACCACTTTACAAATTAAAATCACATCAAATTAATAAAGACTTATACAAATTTAAACAAGAATAAGTTGTTAAGCTGTAAAGACTTTCTATCTTAAATTTGAACTTATCTCATTCTAAAGCAAATTTATACAAGCTTGCAGCAGCATACATTAGTCTCACATTACAGAAAATCCGAACAATGGCAATTTTTGCATCTATTATGTGTAACAATAAAACTTTAGATAAAGCTCACTTAACAATATACTTGTAATCAAAATAAAAGAAAACATAATTACAAAATATCTAACTCTGTGTAATAATGGATGAATTAAAAAAAATGTCCTGTATAACTGTCAGAATAACCAAACTATCTACTCTTTGATTGTAACTAATATCAGAGACTAGTTGGACCATATGTTGCACCAACAACTCAGACTGTTACACAGATTTACCGGGTAAAAGTTAAGCATAATTTAACTTTATTACAATTGAACACAAATGATCTTGACATATCTTAAATAATATACAATACAATGTAAATAAATAAAAACTTAAACAGAAGTTTAGGACAAATCTGTTTTACACAAACCTTAAAGCACTGTGTCCTTCTAAAAAATTGTCTATACCCACATAATGCTATAAGAAATTGCAAATCCCAATAAAATGTGGTCTATCATGAAAAAAGTTGCAAAAATACAGCCTAGCACTTTTCATTTACGGAAACTTCTTATACAAATTTTGATATTCATTTTTCCATGTTTCAAAGTAACAAATAAAAAAGTAAACACAAGTTTTTAAAATTTTTACCATTTTACCTTTAAACTTTAGCCCAATTTACAGTCTAGTCAAGTTTTAGAAATAAATCATTTTAAAAGAATCTGGTAAACTAATAATTACTAGTAGTTAATTTAGTTTAATTACACACTTGAATTATAAAATGAGAATAAAAATTGTCCCCATACAAGTTTGAATTATAATACAACATTTAGAACAAACAATACCATCCTAAGCATAAAAATCCCAAACTATAACAATAACAAACCTCTTTCAACTCTTTCAATTAGCAAACATTCAACGTATACAAAACAATGATAACAAAAATTATGTTTTAAATATATACATTACATAAAATTGAAGGGATGGAATGTGATGACATTTCAAATAATTATGTACCTCCTTTTGTTTCTTTCATGTATAGGATTGCATACTTATAAAGGCTATAATCAAAGTAACTCTTTAACATAAGCAACAATCATTTAATCAGAAATCTTTGGTCTATATTAAATCTACTTAGAACATTCATAGTGAAAACAATGCAGCCCCACATTGTTGTAAATCATTCAGTTGCCATCTGTATAAGAAAAAAGGATCATTTTTACACACATTTGAAGTCACACCAATACAATTATGGTCATTGTGACAAAATTGTCCTATTTTCTAGGGAAGACCTCGGTGTTTTGATACACATACAACATACCTAGAAAGAACCACATATCTTTGCACATGACTTATTAACTACTACTCCAATTGTCCTGAACTAAACCTACATTATCTATGTATTCAAATTTAAGCAGCATGCCTCCAGATTCATGCAAATTTTTCTGTTTTTGAAAATGTATTTGAAAGTTAAATATTCTGAGGAAATCAAAAGGAAGCAATTTACACATTACAAACAGCACTCACAACCCATGCCAATTACCAAAATGAGGTCAAAATATTAAAAAAGCCTTTACTGCGTTAGTAACGCAGTAGAAATATGATGATAAATACCTCCCAAAAAATTGACCATTATTCGCATATAACATGTTAATTATTATATAAATCTTAAATCTGTTCACTTTTCCTAAAATGTTAGTACATTTTCCCCAGGTTTATTGAAATATTTTGTCTTATCTGTAGGCATGCAGCTTTAAATTAAATCCAAATATTTCCCTTTACTACAATTATAATTTATACTTCTTTGATTATTTATCAAGCCAGCATGTGCATTTCACTATAAGTAAACATCTACAATATAATCTATCATATAAAGTAGAGATGAATGCTGGCTGCATGTAAAGATGGCATATGTTTTCACAGTATAAATGCTGAAGATTAAAATCAATTAATAATCATAACAAACCTTGATAGAAACTTATCTTGAGCATAATCGTATTTTAAACAATATTTATATAAATACCGGAATTTAATTTTATCAAATAGTCTATAAATCACGGACAAACAACAGTAAAATATAGAACTGATGATAATTTTTGTTATGCACATAAGGGTATATAAGGAATCCACTATAATTTTATATCAAACACTTTTAAATACTCATATAATGTAAAACATTTCTTATCGTTTCCAACATCAAAACATGGAATACAAATAAAAGGTTCGTAAACCCATTGATAAACATATGACATTGATTCAACCCACTTAAGTTTAAATATTATGCAATCTTTCGACATTGAAACATTCGTCAATCACACAATGGTCACATTTTAGACATTTTGGCTTTAATATAGATAACAGTACAAGGAAGGTATGTCATTGTGAGCATTGTCAGATATGAAAACAAGATATGTATGAAATGTATGGAAAGGCATGCTACTGAGATGTTATATTTCGGATCCTTGAAGATCATTCATCACGACATTATGGTTGTGCTTTTGATATTTGCAGTAATTGAATGGATGAAGGTTGTCGAGTTCTTAAGCCGGTCCGGTCGCTAGGACTTTTGTTAGTTTATAACAAAATGTGTTCAAACCCTGTAAGGGGCAAGTCGTTGTTTCCTTGGGTAAGAACTTTACACTCATTGCTAAGTACTGGTTGGTTCTAGGAACGGATTCGAAAGTGGGTCAATAAGCTTACACAATCGAACTAAAATTCGGTAAAACACAAACAAAATGTGTCCTTTCTTTCCAGGTTATGTAGTTTAGAAGCAAAATTATCAGATGTACTTCTTGTTGAACATTGACGACAGAAACGTAAAAGTAAGTGTGATGTGCTTCCTTAAATAAGAGAGCTGGCTTTCCCACTTTTTTTTCTTAAATTGATGTTATCAACACTTAATATATATTGCCAAAACTCTGTATTATAGTAAATTTGCACCGGTTGGTATATTCAATTGAGTAATACCAGTTAATTTCAGTCATTTAAAGTATCTATATGTCTGGGATCTGGGTGAACCACTTTCTACATTTCATCGGACTTTAAACGCATTGCTGTCCTCTATAATAACCAAACAAATGATAATTTAGTATACACCACAACAATCACGCGGGTTTAACGTGATCAGAGAAGAACGATCAAAAAGATTAAAGATTAAAACACATACAAAGTCGTTGACCTAATTGTCGTATAAATACGTAGTTTATCCAAACAGACGTAATGTTTTATTGGAATAATTTGTAAATGCGAAAATGACAGACAGGTATTGAAATTAGGTCCTTTGATTGTACTAAAATGGACAAAGACTAATTTTGATGCTCTATCTCATCAACTTTATTACTTGCAATGAAAATCGGATTATGATTAATCGGTGAGTCATTCCGAATGTCATATGACACACTAAGACGATATTTTCTGAAAACGAAACACAGGGTTAAGGTCATAGAACACGCAAGTCATGTTACGCAGTGAACAAATCGTAATATCTTAACAGGAATATAGGAGCTAAATACTGTAAGTTTTTAGCAAATAATAAAATTAAGATGGAATATCATTTAACAATTCTAATGGGAAATATAAATAAAAAACATTATATAAGATACATCAATATTTGGTTACGCATTGCAAATTTTGTAAAATATCAAAAACACGTTTGTTTTAAAACAATTCAGTTTCGTTTTGAATTGACCACATTTCAAATCACAAAGTCTTCAGTGTTTTCCTGAAGAGGCTAATATTTCAAAAAATAATTTTCTCAAAATAAATTTGTATGGGATTTAAAATATGTTGTGTATGTATAAAAGATATGTTAAGAATAACAATATTGAACAAATGAAATGTACATGCGGTTACTTATACACTTTTACTTATTTATATGTTAACCCTTTACCTCATATATACGCGAAACAACGCACTTTCGACTCCCCCTCCCTCTTTTAGGCCCGAAATAGTGAAAAAATGTCCTGTTTCGGCCCCAAACACATGTTTTTGTTTGCGAAATGTTGATAAAAAATTAACCACTTTTCCAGCGCCGCCCCCCTATTCAAAAGGTTCATCAGGGGTTGGCAGAAGGGGGATGTGCCACCTTCTGTTGGGGGGGGGGTTAGAGGGGGCGGTAGTCCCCCTCATCGCCAAGAAAATTTTGGACTTGTGAGAGGCTAAAAATGACCCTATATTGACCATGAGGTAATGTGTAACCAACGCTGAAAAGCCTTTGACTATCTCAATCCATTTAGAAGTTGAAGCACTATGAAATCAATTTTGATGGCAAAATATAAACGCAAAATAGTGATTTTTGGCAATTTTGAGATCTCTCCTCGTTGCCATGGTAACAGGAAATTTAAGACTGATCATGTCGTTACAAAGGCAATGGTCCAGTTTACATTTGTGCCAAGTATGATTAGTATTGATGCATTTTTCATAGTTTCATAGCAGTTTGAACTTGTAACAGGAGGCTTTTCAATGAAAACGGCCATTTTTCGCAATATGCTCATGAGGGCAAGGGTAAACTTCTTTAATTTAAAATCATCAAATAAGTAATGGCTTAAATCTGTAGTTTCAAATGCTTAAATATGTATCATGAAGTGTCATAGATAACTGCATAAAAACGCTTATATGTTTGTAATGTTATGTAAGGCTTTTAATAAGAAAAAACAAATAACACAGATCATCTATGTGCGAAAGTAAAATGTTAACATTTTCCAACATATTATATTACGTATTCAAACTTACTGTAAAGAAAACACTAGATATGACTTTCTTACCAGTTACAAAATGCAAGGAAATACGATTTTCTTGACAAATTACAGGCAATGAAAATATCAATATGTAAGAGTTCTTTTTTAACATCATCGGGTGTTAATTGGCATCTGTTTTGTCGAATGATCACTATTTTAGATAATATAACAATGGAATGTAGAAAATATTTGTCTTGGTAGAAAGAAATGGAAGACAAAGACTGGTCATATAAAGATGAGGAAGAGAATGCATCAGATTCACCTCTGTATGAATTGAATGAAACAAACACATGTCACCCATGTAAGCTGGTGAAGAAATTAGCCTTTGCAAACAAGTATTGCATTGAATGTGAGGAGATGTTATGTGAGGATTGTGTAATTAGTCATGTAAAAAGGAAGGCAACTGCTTCACATAAGCCTGTACCGACCGACAAAAGTTATGCAAGTATTATTTTATGCACTCCTTGTAAAGATGACGGAACTACGATACATGCTGCTACTTATTGTGAAGAATGCGAGGAATACCTTTGCAATGACTGCACACGTTCTCATGGAAAGAGAAAAGCAACGACGGCACACAAACCAAAAGCATTAGAGGATTTTGATAACAAGGCATTAAACACGCGTGCTATTAATCCGTTTTGCGAACCTTGCAAGGATAACGATAGAGAGATTCGTTCACTATCCTATTGCGAAGAATGTGACAAACATTTATGCGACTCGTGCACAGAAATCCACCGCAGCAAGAAAGCAACAAACAAACATTATCCAGTACCAGGTTCTGTATTTCACATGAAGAGAAAGGAAACCACTGTGCAAGACCAAAAGCTGTGTGATCCATGTCAGTTTCAAAACATTGAGAAAGATGCAACATCATATTGTGGAGAATGTGAGGTACTACTCTGTGCTGCATGTACGAATTACCACTGTTTAAAAAATATGACAAAATCACATATACTTGAAAGTCCAGACTGTGTGGAATATATTACCAGAGAATGTGATATTTGTGAGAAAGAAGATAAAAAAGCAGTCATGTTTTGCAAAACTTGTGAGAAAGCAATCTGTGAAACTTGTAAACTGTGGCATGAAGGGCAAAGTTCGACCAAATCTCATCCAACTGAGATAATCCCCGATAGGAAGCTAGAAAGATTGATAAGATGTGACAACTGTATTGAGAATATCATAAAAGCAGAAAAGTTTTGTACAGTTTGTGAAGAAAATTACTGTGTTGGTTGTGTAAGTAACCATAGAAAACTAAAGGCGACTAGAGGCCACAAACTAATACGAGCTGTATCTGTTCAAATATACAAAAAGGCTCAAAGGAAAGAAGTTGCTCTTTGTGGCGAATGCGGAAAAGACGAAGGCTTATCAAAATATTGTTCAGAATGTCAACATTATTTGTGCAAAGAATGTTGCGAGATACATCGGCGTAGTAGATTTACCATGTCCCATAAACTCCAGGAGAACGATGAGATTGAAGATGTGAACATTCAAGACTGCGACTCTTGCAAGTTACCCGGTTCAGCAGAATCCTACTGTGAGCAGTGTGGTGAATTCTTTTGCACAATCTGCAATAAGCATCACCAGAAGTTCAAAGAAACAAGTGGGCATGAAATAAAATCAGTTCAGGATGGTATTCTTCAAAGAATGGCACAACAACAATGTATTGAAGACATTCAGTTACGGTATGTATCTAATTATGCTTTGTGTGTGCATATTTTTATCTGACAGATAATGATTTGTTTACAAGTAAATAGTAACATACATATTTCGATATCATAATGGTTTAGTCACTAGAACACGAAGCGCTTAAAGCGATAAAACAGCAGACGGTTGCGTTTTATACCGTATAAATCGTATGTTAAATGGCTTGCAATATGGTAGATTTGACAAGTTACTTTAAATACTTTGGTGTCAAACGGTGTGTTGAAGTATCTACTGTGACAAAGCTAAGATCTACAGCTTTTCATTGGTGTAATAAATTTCAAAATCGGATTTCAAATCACAAAAAAACTAGCGGTTTAAAAACGGCTTAAACTGTATTGTTGGAGATATCGATTTTACTCGAAAATGTATTTTTTCACTCGATATACCTCGGTTATACGTAGTTTAAATTGAAACTGTTTATGTGTGTATTGTTTTAAAAGCATCTCCTTTAGAACAATTTGGTTAACTTGTGCCAGACTTCGCACATGATTTCACAGTTCGTCATATAGTTCTCTTAGCATACTTTTATCTGGGACAAAATGTGTCGGCTCTTAAACTGCTATGTATTTGGCTTATGAATAGCGTATTTACCATCCTTGTAAATATTAAAACAGTTTGCTTAAATCAAATAAACACTTCACTTAACATATAGGCTCATAAAGGACATGGCATCTAAAATAGTTATCAAATCTGCAATGCTGGACAAGCATTTCTAATGACCTCTATGTTTGACCTTGACCTTTGACCTAAAGATCTTGTTCATGTCCGCGACACCGCTTCTCATATAGTTGTGGGCATTTCTATGACGCGTTTCATCAAAATCCCTCCATGCGTGAAGGAGATATGCTCCGGGCAAAAAGCGGAAACGAAACGTTTTTTTTTAAACGGGCATATAATAAAATAATCGTTTGTTATAATTATGAGCACTTATTAATAACAATGTTATATTCATAACTATAATTAAGAAAATTGGTCTAGGCATATAGGAAACTTTAATTCCGTGTTAAATTGTCTAGATATTAACTTAAATATGAGCGTTAAATTGCAATAATTGTTTAATAATTTCCGTCTATCACCTGTGTTGTAAAACAAAAATTCTGTTAAGATTAGAGTTTTGTGTACAAAAACAGTTACAAAATATATCACTGGTTACCATTTATAAAATATACAATTTTAGATGTGTGCAAACAATCTATTAACTTAAGTATTTATGACATGATATATAGCTTATTTAGCTGGAATTAAATATTTTGTATCTATTTTCCTCTGGCTTTTTTTTGTTACTATTGCATTGTTCGAGTGACGTTCATTTATTTCTGAACTGCTGTACAAATTGTGATAATATTTTTTGTACACGAGCTAAGCTTTGAGCGTATTATGATAGCCCTTGATAAAACTGAGACATTGTTTACAACACAGACCTGTTGTCTACATTCAAAGCACATGAATTTTGATTCGTTATAATATGCCATAATAAATAAATCTGGACATAAGTCAGAACGAACCAAAAGGGAATGTGATCAAGACGAATAAAAAATCGTTTTACATTTCTACTTTGTTTTAATGGTTAACAATAAAATTTATATCCAACAGTTAAAGAAAATAAGGCAATGATGTGCCTATTTTGTTGTTAGTTTTTCTCCATACTTCAACACCTTATTTATTATTTCCTTAGTAATTCACAACGCTTCCCGGGGAAACCGAGATCTTTGGAAATCATGGTAGATACAGTTACACTCACATGGGACCCACCATCAACAATTGGGGAAGGCGACTGTTATCAAATCAGTTATAAAGAAAGTAGCCACGGGGAAAACTGGAAGTTTTATCAAGGTGAATTGAAGTCATCAACTGCCGTCATAAGCGATTTGAAATCAAATACAGCTTTTGTTTTCCAAGTTTGTGTAGTTAATGAGGATTGCGTTGGTCCTTACAGTGAGCAAAGTGATGAAATCTTTACATTAGAATCACAAGCTTCAAGACTCGTACAAGCTTCAGTTCTGATAGAGAAAGGAAATCCGTCACCATCCAAGTATGCATTACCATTATCTGAAATAAGGGAGGCAAGAAATCAGCAAACGAAGACAAATAAATTTCAGCTCGGTATATAGGCCTATCTCCTTTTTATTTGTATCTGTCATGTTTAAATTGTCTTTAGTTAAGGTGTTTCTATACATGTGATGAAATATATATTCAATTTTTTTTTACCACAGTTAAATCGCGTTCCTTTTACGGTATATTTTTAATAAATTGTACCAAAATGTTAAATTTCCTTGTAACGAATATTGTTTGATTTTATTAATCTACAAATTGCAAAAAAATGTGTTTTTCTCTTCCTTTGATGCTTCGATTTCTGTGATATTTTTTTTTCATATAACCGTACTTAAAATTCCAGAATTAAGCATTATTTAACTGTGACAAAGTTACACTTACTTATATCAATATCATAAAAATGATATTATTGTGTGTAGGTGCACCACCAACAAACAGTTGTAAACCAAAGACAATTATGCTGGTAGGCGCTAAAGGAACAGGAAAAAGTACCTTAGTAGATGGAATAGTAAACTATGTGTTAGGTGTTAAGTGGGATGATCCGTTTAGATTTACAGTCAAAGATGTAGAACAAAAGGTAAAACATAGAATCAAATATCAAGTAAGTGATTATAATTAGTAAACCGAAGTTTTTTTTAATAATTCGCTATTATTATAATTCTGTTTATATATTCAAAATGTCAAAAAATCTGAATTTTAATAAAGTTTTAATCATATTGTTCGTTATAGGTTGAAGCAGAATGGATAACGTGTTACACACTCAACCCAGAGATGGGAAGTCGTCTTGACTATCCATTAAATATCATAGATACCCCAAGTTTTGGAGCTATAAGAGATCTGGGAAAAGATCTGGAAATTGTTCAACAATTTAGACAATTATTTACCGAAAATGAGCCAAAGTGTGTAAAATTCATAGATGCAGTCTGTTTTGTCATAAAAGCTCCAGATGCTCGTCTTACAGCTGTCCAAAGCTATATTTTTCAGTCGATTATGTCACTTTTTGGCAGAGATATTGAAAACAACATTTGTTCTCTTGTAACGTTTGCTGACGGCATTGACCCACCTGTTCTAGCTGCTTTGAAGCAATCAGAATTACCTTTTGGTAAGAGTTTCTTATTCAATAACTCCGGTCTGTTTGCCAAGAACTTTAAAATCAGTTCTTCTAATTTATCCTCAATGTTTTGGGACATGGGATTGAAAAGATTTCGAGCTTTTTTTCATCACCTGGAGCAGGTAGAAACAAACAATCTTCAGTTGACAAGAGATGTTCTTGATGAACGTTCACGCCTGGAATCGACAATTAAAATCTTGCAGCCACTACTTCACGCTGGGCTAACAAAAGTGAATAATATGAAGCAAGAGATACGTATTATTGATGAGTATACAGGACTGATAAAAGACAACCAAAATTTCGAGTATGAGGTAGAGGAAACACATCAAAAAAAGAAAGAATTACAGCGCGGACAGTATCACACCAACTGTATTATGTGCCACTTTACTTGTCATGAAAATGGAACATCTCTTGACAGAGAAAAAATTGCCAGGTTAAGCTGTATGGGAAGCAATGGATGCTGTAATTCTTGTCCAGATAAATGCCATTGGACAAAACATACAACTACTCCTTACAAGTTTGAGTATGCTATTGTCAAAGTGAGAAAAATATATGCAGAAATGCAAGAGAAATATAATAATGCAAGAGGAAAACTTTTGTCACAGGAAAAAATAGTAGAAAAGCTTGGAGAAGAACTAAATAACTTACAAGACGATATTGAAGACATGATGGTTGCCATAAAGACGTGCAATGAGCGATTGAAGGAAATTGCACTGAGACCAAACCCATTAACAATGACAGAGCATATTGATTTGATGATAGAAAACGAAAAGCTTGAAAAGAAAGAAGGGTTCATGCAGCGAATAAATATCCTTAATGACTTCAGGAAAAAGGCTCAGATTTCTATCGATGTAGAAAACATTAGCAAAGAAGCTCGAACTACCCTAGGTGCTGTTGGGAAGAAGAGGGACTGAAACACATATTTTAAAATATTCAATCAAACACATAATCTTATACAATCAGAAAACATGTAGCATACCGGTCTCATGTTTCTTCTTATACTGTATGATATTTCATTGGATAAACATTCAAAAGGTCTGATGTTTTAGCTAATCTTAGAAAAAAATCTGAATAAAAACATTAAACATATTACACCACTGAATCGCTGCAATAAAGAGATTGATATATGACAAATAATATCAACAAAAAAGGCGGCAGTCAGTAAACGCATCCCACAACCCCGGAAAGGATCCCAGCAGGACACCAAACAGGACAAAGCAAACGGGCAAAAAACGGAAGGAACGCCACCACAAACCATTCCAAATAGGAAAGCAATAAAGCAATAGTAACCTACAAGGAATCCAAACTTAATTAAAAGACCCACAAAAGGACAAGGACCAAGGGGAGGGGGCTGAAGGATTGGGGTAAAATTGAAAAACAAAAAGGGGAAAGGGGACATACGTACCATAGACGAAAAAACAAGAAGGGACATAAAAGTGTCACCCTAATTGTATGTTACAAAAAAACAAGACAAACATATGAGGAACACAGATGGTCGCCGCCTTGGAACGGTCAGCAGCATAATCAGTCCTGGAGGAGTTTAAACCGGTTAATGGTGCACCAAACCTAAAACCTCATTTAAGACTATCCAGATTGCTTATAGAACGTCAGTGGTTCTACATTGGTAGTAATTCGTTCCTGAAATAATTCTCAGAGGGGCACATGAGGTCTTCTTCCACAAGTACATGTACATTGGAAAGTCGCCATTTGACCCTTTACAGTATTGGTGTGACGTAAGCATAAATTTCCTCAGTAGAAAGCATGCTTTGTGAGTTTTTCTCTGTTGCTTTGTCCCAGAATATATGCAGTATATAGAATTTTTGTAATTTTAAAATTAGGAAATAATTTTTAGATTTTACTCCTGTATACAAATAAACAATAACCTGTTCTTAATTTAATGTTGTTTTCTTTTTCATTTATATTTTGTCTGGTTTTTGTTTAGACTTGCTCTTTTTTGTCATAGAATAATGTTTTAATACAAATAAGTTTTGAATGATGTCGAGGTATATGTTTAAACAAGGACATTTCATGCATCGTGATAATCGGATTTTATAGTCCAGATGTCTAATGTGTTGTCTTTCTTACAAAATAATATAGATAATATTTATTCAATGTATACTGTTTTGTCATACTCTCAGTACGGTGTATCCTGTATTATTAAGAGCAGATTAAAAGTTAAAATTTCTCATATTGATTTTGTGGTGTATATTTTGCCGCACAAATTTACTCGAATAAGAAATATCAAGATTTTTCATACCACTTTGGTTAACGTATAATTTAGTAATTTTACATGAAATAGCTTTGAACATTTGCTAATTTAATTTAATCTCACAGTAAATAACTGAACATTGTACATTAATTTGATATATCCCACTACACACTATAAGTAATTGTATTTCAATACTTTTATTATTTGTCATATTTTAAAATCTATACTGTGCTTAAAGTAAAATGAAAATGTTGTTTTATAGAAAGACATAAACATTCATAATTCTTTAAAAGTGAAAAGTAATCTTTCTTTTTTTTATTTTGCTAGATAATTGTTTTCTTTTAAAATTTCTTTTGTGCATAATTTCCAACTAGATTTTTTCTTGAAGTCCTATTATTTAATATGTAAACATCAAAGAACAACAAAATTTTATTAATTCTAAGATTGATTTTGTTGATAGACAATTAATTTTATACACTTATACACTAACCCTTATAAATGTATTGTCATCAACAAAATCAATCTTAAAATTAATGAAAAGTTAGTGTTCTTTGAACAGCAGAAGTTAACAGTATAAATAATGTTGCAAAGGACTTCAAGAACAATTCACTGACCTAATGTTAGAAATTGAATATGTATGTTGTTAGGGTTAGGGTGTGTGCGTGTTGTGTATGAGAATTGTATATATTTAAACCAACAATCTGCAGGAAGATATATTATATGGACATCCATATCAGAAATGTTTATATAATGTTCAAAAATATAAACGTTCAAGGCTGGCACATGTATATGCGAGGAAAATAAACTTTTATTTGATATAATTTTCTTTATATCATTTATTTGAAGGACTTTTTACATTTACGGTGCACGAGGCCTGTGGTTCAGAAAAATATATCATCTCATAAAAAAGATTAAATTTGTATGAAAATATCCGTTACAATGCGGAAATATACCGTTAAATTAGGACTGCTACTTATAGTCATGTTTGTTGATTTAATATTGATGTACGGATGATCCGAAGGCGGAGTTTCTCATGCAAACAGAAATTGTACTACCGAATTCGCCACAATTAGGTTGTACATTTGTATGCTCATTAAACTCATTTTGGTTGTCTGGACACCAAAATAAGATCTGGAGTCGATATGAAACCCAATTTATTAATGAAATGTCGCTATTTCTTTTTTATGAAATTTATTTAATGTAACTTTAAATGTATTGTATTAAAAAGTGTTTGGCAATATTGACCTGAGGTTGCTTAATTTTGGGAGGTTTTACGTCTCCATACAATTTACGTTGTGGTTTTTAATGCTAGTATAATTCTAGATACTTTTTATCTGTAATCTGTAAGTACGACCCAATGGACAAGTGGTCAGTTCGACGGGCTAATAATCGTGTAGCTACAAGTTAGATTCCTCGACAAACCATATTTATATATTTTAACTAATTATTTCTTTATGCAACATGGTTGGATAAATAATTTTATTAATTTATAATGTAGAGCTGTATATTCTTTTAAAATTTATTACTCTAATAAACTTGTAATTTTGATTGATTTCAGTTTGTAAAGTCGTACATTGAGTGATTTTTATGTGATTTGACATAGTGGTGAAGTCCTAAAAATGAAATAAGAAGATATGAAAAATAATGTTTTACCTACAAATGAAGTCTAAAACATTGTCACTGAGGCTAATAATGCAAGTGCTATAGTTGCGTGTTGTTTTTTTCAGTTGTATTCTGTTGTATCTTACTTTGAAATCCGTACAGATTACTTCGGAATCCGATAGTTACCAACAAAATGGAATTAAACATCCAACTGCCTCAGCTCTAAGGTCTATATTGCCAAACAATAGATGTTAACGATTTTTAGTTGCTTTTCCCAGTAACACTTTTGTTTGTGTACTTACATGAATTATTCCATATTCTTGTATCTTGACAATGTAACGAAAACGTCTCACAATGAAAACAAAATATAAACCATGTAAACAAAAGATATATGCATATTTATTTGTTCTTTCCATTTGTTAACATATCCACTTGATAATTTCATTTTAATACCAAAGAAGGAAAAAGTGTTTTATCCATCTAAATTCACTCTATTCTTTAATATATTGTTTTATGTATTTTATCAATGTGAATATAAATACGATATTTTATAAAAGTTGAAGTTGTAACAAACGAAAAAATAATATAGACTTTATGTACCTGTTCATTCAATTACAAGTATAATTATAATATGTATTTTAGTTAAGTTTTATTTTCTTCTCTTTTGTAAAACTGTATATGTTAATTAATTATAGAAATGTAATCAGATGTAGTACAATATATTATAGCAACAAAAATGCTATTGTTTGTTCTTTTAATAATTCCATATACACTCTACTATTGAATCTCTATATTAAATCCTTCTATCTGATTTAAATTGACTTATAATCCTATTGTATACATAGAAAAGGCCTAATTGGACATTGGAAAGGGATAATGCGAAATATGCTTTACAGCAAACATCACAGAAAAATAGTTTGAAACTCACACCTTGAAGAAATAATAGTGTTTTTATTTTAAGTGCTAGTTTATTTCCAGTGTGGTACAAAGTAAGTGTTTGAAACTCTGCTATAAGTGACTTGTTCTCGGTCTTCTGAAGAATTAAAGTCACTGTCCATATGTATCATGACAGTATGTTGAAACAAAAGGCACATACTCATTTGAAAGGAAAACTTTCAAGATATTCAAGATAGAGAAAATAATCAGACCAATCATAAATATACCTTTACCTTTCGAAAATATTTCAGCTGGTAATTATAAAAGAACAAAGTGAACTTGACCCATATTTAGATCATTCCGGTATCCACAGATGCTTGAACAAAGCAAGCAATGGTGAAATTTATCAAACCACATGGCCGTGACCTTTTGAGTGTCAAACCGACAATCTCGAATAAAACGATGCTGCACCTTCGAATACCTTCATCAGTTCTTATTAAAAATAATAAGGAAAAGTTGAAGAATGTCCATCGTAGAAATGCATCAAGCGAATTTAGCCTAGCTTTCATTTGACAGCAAATGTTAAATTTACTCTCGAGTTGCAATGAGGTGTACTGGTAAGAAATCCAGGTAATCCTCGCATGTATCAGTGCTATACACTGGACATGTAAAAGAACCAAGGGGTCTATTCAATAAGAGCTACGGACTGGTTCCCGGATTCCCTTTTCTCTGAAGTGACTAATCTAAAGTCATGTCTCCGTCCCCGCGAGGGGTTTGACATTAATTCAAGGTCCGTAGACAATGGAATACCGGCTCGCATGGAATGGCACGATAGTGTCACACTAAAACAGCCATGATAAACGCCGTAAAACAGATATGCGGATGTTTCTAAAATTTCGTGTTTAAATGTTGAATTCTGCCTTAGCCGCTGCTAGGGGGCGTGAATGGTAACTTGCACTTTCCAGTTCCGTCCGTGAATCAAACCGAGCATGCAACATTTTCAATTTTGTCGTTTTTGGGCGTTCTTTAGGGATTCAGGTTTTCTCTAATAAGAAAACAAAGCTAATTAAATGGAGAAAATAAAAATCCCTAAAGAAAGTCCAAAACGGCAAAATTGAAAATGCTGCAAGGTAGGTTTGATTGAGCCTGTTCATGGACGGTGTAAAGTGCAGACTACCGTTCACACCCCCTAGCACCGGCTTAACCAGAATTCAACATTAAACAGGAAAATGGCAAAATTTTGAATTTTGAAACATCCGCAGGTGTGTTCATGGAACCTTTAATGTGACACTTTCGAGCCATTCCATGAAAAGCGGCGTATGGCCCCAAACCGACAGTTCTTTTGGATAAGATTGGAATTCTTAGTAATGAAAAAATAGCATTTATTCAGCTCAGCTCTAACAAATCCCAATTAAATGAATACCAAATTACTCTCACATGATGTACATCTACATGTAATTACGGCTACTAATCTTTATCAAGATCAGGTCAGTTCTGCTTTGAAAGTGAACCTATTAATGACAATTTCATTCATCTTTTATCACAGATATGAGTTTATATGGAATTGATAGTGATTCCTGTGAATCGGA